AGGTCAAAGGTCAAATCCAAGGGCATATTTGAAATCTGCACATATGACTTTTGGAAAGCCGTCTGTAGAAATTTTTCCCATAATTCCTTCCGTAGGGTAGATAATTAGCATTTAATTTTGCCATTTTTTGGACAAGGGTGCATTGCAGTGAATGCCACACCTAGACCCCAATACCGACAAAGCCCAAATTTTACGTGGAACGAGTTGAGATTATAGGTGACCTAAATCCAAGAGATGGGTATGGGGGCCCTTACCGTCTAGGAGGAGAAGCGGTAACGGTAACATGGCGGCGGAGCCGCAGGAGCCGGCGGAACGGACCGGACGGCACTAAAACCATGTGTACCGCCAGCGCTAACGCTGGTGGTACAATAAGCAATATATAAACTTTACATCATGCACAACCTATGATAACATAAATGGAAAAGACCTTTTCACACTTTTAAATTCTAACTGTGACTATACTACCTCATGGAATACCATTTTCAAACTATTTCTTTTGGAAATGAGTTATCATGTATCACTTAGGGTGTATTCTCAGAGATTTACATCGATTCAGAGATTAAGATTTAGATAGACCTAACTCCATGGGGGTTCATGCTAAATTGCAGTCAGCCGAGCGAGCACCATAGTTAATTACCCCCTTTTAGCTTTCAGTAGGCGGGACAGACGCTTAAGCCAGCTAAGCTGGGCTCGGAATCTCGAAAGGATCGCTATGTTGCGCACGCGCTATAGCATAGCTAGCGTGCGCTAATTGCTAGTGCGATTGCACCCACCTGATATCTCGAAGCCTTAGCAAACGCAACGCAATAAATGCCTGTCCGGAAGTACAATTATAGTCTCGAACACACGCGTACGCCTAGCGGTTCTTTTTTGTTTGGAGGGACGATAGTAAATCGCACGTGAAATGGAGAAACACAGCAGGGAGCGTTACAAAACCGATGAGCTCGCGGTGTTGGTGGAGGAGGTCTCGTGTAGACCTACACTATTTAGCCCCTTCACCAACACCGTGACTGTAAAGTCCAAAGAAAATCAATGGGCTGAAGTTGCCGAAAAGTAAGTTGAATAATTATGATAAACAGTCCTCTTCTGTTCGTAGTCTGTTTTGCCATGGTAAAATTATATCCATTATATTTAATTATTGCTTATTGATGATTTAGTTTGGTATGTTGTTGTAGTTATTCAATAAAAGTAATATTGTAATTGCTCTCTATTAACACATCTTGACATGATCATGTACATGTACAGTATGATGAAGCAATAAAGTGGTGATTCTTATATTTTTTTTATTGAAATTATGAATGCTATCCTTCTAGAGTTGACAGTGTTTCACATGTATATAAAGAGGAGTTTCCGAGAGGTCAGGAAAAAATGGCATGACCTCACGTCTCGCACTAAGCGCAAAGAGGCCAAACGCCGTGCAGCAATGCGGCAGACAGGTGGTGGTGTGGGGCCCAGTCCAATGTCAGAGTGGGAGAAGAAGGTGTTATTTTGTTATTATTAAAAATGAATTTGCATATTAAATTGCACAATGGCTAACTTCGTTTTATATTTAATTGCTTTAAGAACCTCAAGATGATATTAAGTAGAGTAATTAACTTAGACTGACTCTGTGAATATGAATACTTCAACACTGACTTTCACAGACATGCCCTATTGGAATGTCCAATCACCAGGAGGCATATTTTATACATACATATATCTCTATATATTTTTACTGATTTCTATACCTATTAACAAATGAAACTTTATTGGTAATTTCAAACATATAGCTTATGAAAGCGTTCAACATTGTCGGATAGTTGGCTTTTCATTTTTGTTGCTGCAACTCAACAGGAATATGTTCATTTATGAAAAATTATCACAGTGACTTAAAAGTACAGTATCTGTAAAATTCAGAATATTGAAAAGATTGAGTTCTTATTATATCATTTTTATATTTAATTATTAATTACATACATCTTCAAATTTCAGATGTAAGTGAAAGGTTTTACAACGTAGAGAAGGATCACCTAGCATTAGAGGAGGAGAGGTTGAAAGTAGAAAAAGAGCGTTTACAGTTAGAAAGGGAGAGATTAGAAATTGACAAAAGTAACAAAGTGTTATTTGAAAAAATAACAGAATACTGTAAAGTGAAGTTGGATGTTCTGAAGTGTGAGTCTCTTGCAGATACTTAACAGTGAATGCATCTTATTGGGATCATGATATTTTATGTTTTTGCCAAGACACATACTAGCCGTATGTTACTGTACATCACTGTACTAGCCATTAGTTGCATCTGCTGTTGCAGTCATCATCCCTGTACTGTGAACTTTCACAGATAACATTTTAAATTTAAAAAAATACATCTTTTGTCTTAAAGGTAACAGAACTGATGATTATCCATAAAATACAGGTCAAATTTAAATATCACCTGGCTTGGACCATATTACTGTATGCAATTCGAATGACACATTGCAAGGAAAATGTCAAACTTTCATAAGGAGAGTTCCAAATTATTAAAATATTTTGTTTCAAAACCATCCAGATCAAATTAAGTTTGGTAAATTATTATTTTTATTTATTAATTTTTTTGTCTGTGAATGTGTGAAATAATAATTTTTTCACATATTAGCATTTTCAAGGTAAGGCACAACTTGAAGACCTTTTTTTACCCACATTGTCTGGATATCCATAATACTTATGTTATTTTAATTTTGTAGTGAATATGCTGTTGAGTATTATGTTATATTGCATCAAAATTGGCAAAATACCTATTGTGGACCCTGCCACCACAAATGTAATGAAAAATAAAACTTTGTTACTTATTTTTTTTACGTACAAGAATGATAATAAGGATATACATACAGCTGATATTGAAAATGCCAACTTGACTGTATTATTTTTTCCTTTAATTTATGCAATTTCTTTTTGATAATTTTTCAGTATTTTTTATTCAGTAATTTTCAATATTTGAATCAGTTTGATCATTCAGTACTGTATTTTAAACTAAGTTTATGACCTCAGCAAAGAACTGGAATTTGTTACAAATCTTTTATAAGGGATAGTTTTCATTTGCTTTTGTCCTTGAAAAGGACTTTATTTTTATATTGTACTTATTTACTTTAATTTAGACAAGAATATACATTTAGGAAATTGTTTATAAAATTATTTTTATATTTTATTTTATATTTTCATCATGTTATTGTTTCATAAAATAAAAAAATTATGTAAAATATAACTTGACCATCTGTTTTGTTTCTTACATAAACTTAAAAGTGATTTTATTTTGCCCTATTTGCATTGAAAGTGTACTTCAAAAGTAATTGGCTTAAAGTATCAGTCTTTTTGATTCCTGGAATTTGTTATTAAATTTCCTGCATGAACACTAGCTGTTATATTAAATCAAATTTGTACACCTTTGTCATTTTGTACACTTATTTTAAATTTCAGTTCTTAGTATTATATGCAAAATATATGCACAATATAATAAAATATGACATTTTAAAGAGAAAATCAGTTTTCATTATTTTTAATTTTTAATGAATTAATAATCTTTATTCATCCCACAAAGATTCATAAATGAACCAACTGAGAGTTAGAGAAAAATACCAGGAGAATATGGAAGTGAGTGTGAGACTCAGAGATCCTATGCAAATACACGTAAAGCAGCAAGAACTTGAGTAGTGGGTGACAGTGCTCGAGACCTCGTAGTCGGTCTTTTCAGAGGTTCTTCAATAATATTGGTCAGTTTGAGCACATTCTCCTGCGTCATGCGGTATCTCTGATGAAAAATATGGGGTTTGAACTCTACCATAAGATCTATAAGTCTCACACACCTTCTTTTAGCATTTTCCTGGCATTTTTCTCTTGTAATAACAAAACTAGCCGCCTTGACGATTTCAATATAATGACCAAGTACGCAAGCGTAAAAACACTTGCGTCTAGTTTGTATCGCCGCAAATAATAGCCTCGAAACTAATGGTGATTTGGACATTAGCGCACGGCCGGGATTTGCGAAGCTTTCGAGATACGGGATAGCGCACGCTAGCCATGATAGCGCAGGCGCTCAAAATAGCGATGCTTTCGAGATACGGGATAGCGCACGCTAGCCATGCTAGAGCGCGTGCGCAACATAGCGAACCTTTCGAGATTCCAAGCCCTGACAGTAATCTAGTGAGACTCCCCACAGGGATAGATCGATCTAAAATCTATGGAAATGGCCCAGTCTTACTCTTTGCTCTGTCATTTTCAATTTATACCATTATAACTTGTTTCAACTGCCCATTTTGGTTTTATTATGGAATGTTATAAGAACTGTTTGATGTATTTCTCATACTTGCATGTCCATCGTTAATTCTAGTTTCTGTTATCACATATTTTAGACCCTACATTTTATAATACCTTAGCTTCTGTGAGATAGATAAGCCCAGAGTTATGGTAGTTTTTCTTCTTAGCTTGTTTCTTTGGATTGATTGCTGGCCACTCAACCTATAATAATAATAATAATAATAATAATAATAATAATATGTATATCAATTTGATTTAAATGATTATTTCCAGATTATTATACATTAACAGAGAAAAAATTTGTTCAATGTGCAGTTCAGGCCTAAGAACCCTGGTCCCAGTTTTACAAAAAAACTTAAGTCAGGTTCCCTGGCTAAGAACTTAATTACCCAGGTTACATGGTCACATGGGCAAGTCTTACCCTATCAGGAGCAGTGTAATAGCTCTCTCATGGAAATCATAGTCAACTGAGTCAGGTAACTGACTTCAGTTTTTTTTTTTTGTAAAACTGGGGCCTGAGTTTCAATACACTGACAGTGATTAACCTGGACAAATAGGTTGCTGACAGAAGTGTGAAGTGTTTGTATCACACCAGTTTGTCCTTACACAACAATGAAAATTGTACACAACGTTCCCTCTTCATTTGCACACATACAAATAAATGGAGGTATGGATTAACTTTGATGGATGGATATAACACAGATGGCTGATCTAGAATATTGTTGTTGTGGTGGTAGTGGTAGTGGGAGGCACAAGGATATAAAAAATTTACCCAATGCTTTGTTCAACAAATATAAAGCAGTTTATGAGGACAATTTCACTGTTATGTATAGTCCAAATGGATGGGGAATAAGTGTTAAGTCGCCCTCTTTTTTTTTTCTTTTTTTTTTTTTTTGGGGGGGGGGGGGAGGAATAGGACTAAGCCTGTGGTAGAGATGGGGCACTGTGCCTGGTGTGTCCCCTGGTATTTAATTAATGGATGGCCATAGTAATCTACAACAAAATTATCAAATCTTCAAATTAAAACAAGAAAACCCTGCATGCTTTGAGTATGTGATAATTCAATCATTGATTAAAAGACTACCCATTGATTCCCAAGCTAAGTTAGGTGATGGGTAAACAATCCAATCAATGCCCTCATAAAACCAAACAAAAGTTGTTTACAAAGTTGCCATGGTTACAAATGCAAACAGGGATATCGCTGCTAAGGCCATAGTCAAAGTCAATAAGCATGTCTGAAAATACAAAAGACTAAATATGTAGCTATTCTACAAAGACATTTAACAAATATGTTGACAATCATACCAAACATATCAAATAGACATAAGACTATAGCATAGAGGGTAATGCCTATAGTGCATTATTTTTTTATTATACTGCCTTTTATAATACTGCCTAACAACAGGTCACAACATCTAAGCATGCACCTGTACTAGCCATATTAGTGGCACCAGGTGCAAATCATTCAGATATTTTTTTTATCAATATTCTTATCATTCTAGCCAAACATTCACCAGACAATTCAATTCTAGACTGAAAAAAAAAAAAAGCTATAAACTATATACACATCACTGTCTCCAAGCAAAGCATGACATCTTTAATGCATGCTCTATATGCATGGACACCTAATAAATTATTATCTTGCATGGTTACTACAACTATGCCGGGTGTTTATCAGCAGGAGAGTTGTTAGAAGTCCAGGCTTTCTTAGTGACATCTGTCAACCAAATAACTTTAAGTGTGTGTCACAGTGCTGTGTCAATTTAAAGGTAGGTTAACTGGTAAATTATGTCCATATTTTTAATTACCTAGGACACAATTAAGGGTTTAATGTGTCGTGTTAATATGAAATAAATACACACACAGACTTTACATATTAAGGGAATATAACTGCAGGTATACTATCTTAACTATGATCCTATCATAAAAGTACATAGTAATGATACATTATCCTTCATAAGATAAAATATTGCTAGGAAAATTATACTCCTATTATATTATTAATTTGATTGCTCCCTCAAATTTCTTACATATATACAATGTTAATAAACATACTGGTATTCATGTCAGTATTTATTTAAAGGGAAAATAGGGATTATTTGTTTCTTAATAAAATCATTATCAAACAGGCTGGTTATAACATTAAAATATATTAAAATATGCCTCATAATCAAAAATATCATTCATAAAAATACCATTCACTGTTTTTCGGATATATATATATGAACAACAGCATGCACTAACTGCACTGGTTTAAATACAGGACAACCTTTTCTATGCAGACCCTTTCACTTTTGTGTTCTTTAAACAATACCTAATGCACAAAAAGCTATGACGGTTCAAAGACTGAAAGCTATAGATACTACAAACTCAATCTGAGGACTCAAAGGTAAAAAACAATGAATATGTATGTCTTAAAAAGCTCCGCCCCTTGACCTAAATGCCAATGTAAACTACGAGCCACAACTGGGTCAAATTGATTCAGTTTAAGTTCACGCCCTGTAGTAACTGGCTACGGTTTAAATCTATAAATATGTGTTTTCAGACTCTTTTTAAATATAAAAATAATGCTTTTTCCCACATCTCTCTCTCTCTATCTCTCTCTCTCTCTCACACACACACACACACACTTTTTCTCTCTGATCTTTCAATATGTTTTCTGCTTTAGTTCCTTTACTTATTTTTTTTTTAATTTCTATACAAGATTCTACATTTTAAAATGGGAAATAAAAGATGTGGGACATTTAACAGATACACTGTATGTCTAGGAGACATTTTTTGTTACAGATCATTGTAAAAATATAGAAAAAAGAAAGTATCAATAAAAGTAACGTAAAAGATTTACTGTTCCGATTTGCCGTTTTCTCCATACCACATGAGTAGGGAAGTCATTAGAGAAAGCGAACGCAGGAGTTGAAAGGCATTCAACGCTCACCCCCCCCCCTCCTGCTTCTTAACACATCTCTCTTTCTCTTTTGCTTTCTCTTTCTCTCCCTTTCTCACACACTTTCTCTCTCTAATCCTTCAATAGGTTTTCTGCTTTATTTCCTTTATTTATTTTTCCTTCCTCTTCAAGATAAGGCCTATATATTTTTAAAAGAAAAAAGTTGTGGGACATTTAACAGATACACTGTATGTCTAGGAGACACTTTTTTTTTCACAAATCATTGTAAAATGTGGAAAAATAGTGACAAAAATATGAAAGCAAAAGATTCACTGTCCCGATCTGCCGTTTTCTCCCAAATGTAACTGATACCGCATGAGTGAAGAAGTCATTAGAAAAAGTAAACGCAGTAGTTGAAAGGCATTTAAGCCCCCCTCCTGCTTATCCCCACATCTCTCTCTCTCTCTCACACACACACACACACAAACACACTTTTTATCACTGATCTTTCAATATGTTTTCTGCTTTAATTCCTTTTATTTTTTTTTATTTCTATACAAGATTCTACATTTTAAAACGGAAGATAAAAGACGTAGGACATTTAACAGATACACTGTATGTCTAGGAGACAATTTTTTGTTACAGATCATTGTAAAATATGTAAAAAAAATTACTGTCCCGATTTGCCGTTTTCTCCCAAATGTACATGTAACTGATACCACATGAGTAGGGAAGTCATTACAGAAAGCAAACGCAGGAGTTGAAAGGCATCCAACGCCCCATCCCTCCTGCTTCTTCATGCATCTTTCTTTCTCTTTCTCTCTCTGATCCTTCAGTAGGTTTTCTGCTTTATTTCCTTTACTTATTTTT